ACTTTGACACCATCAAGATTCTCCCAAGTCAACACTGGTACCCCAAGTCTACCAGAGCACCCCAAGTATTATAAATGCCCCAAGTTTCTCCAAGCACCCCACATCTTTCCAATCACTCCAACTTAGTCCAATAGTACTAAGTCTGTCCCAGAACCCCAAGTCTGTTTAAACACTCCAAGAATTTCCAAGTTCTTTAAGCACTTGAGTCTCTTCACCTACTCCAAGTCTGTCCCAGGAATCCAGTTCTCTTCAGGTATTCACAGAGAAAACACTCGTCTATTTGTAATCTCTCTCCATCCCCAGTCAGTCCTCTGATCTCTGGATTTTGCTATTCTGGAAGTTCTCAGAATATGTATCCTCCTGAACCATATTCTCTCACAGAGCATCATGCTGTTATGGTTGCTATGGTACCTTGTGAGGAGCATCATCAGGACCAGGGTGAGAATGACCGCCGCCCCCACAGCTGGAATGATCACTGCTGTCGCGTTCGTAGAGGTCTCCTCCGGGTGGCCTGGGGGAAGAGAGGGTCAGGGGGTCTGAGGGTCTTGGGGAAGAGAGGGTCAGGGGTTTGAGGGTCCTGGGGGAGGGGAGGGTCAGGGGGTCTGAGGTTCCTAGGGGAGGGGAGGGTCAGGGATCTGAGGGTTCTAGGGAAGGACAGGGTCAGGGGGTCTGAGGTTCCTGGGGGAGGGTCAGGTCAGTGGTCTGAGGGTCCTGGTCAGGAGGAGAGGGTCGGAAGCAGGGCAGCCTTCTCCAGCCTGAGTGGAGCTGGGTTTGGGGACAGGATGGATGAAGGGTCCCCGTGTTGGGGGCAATGTCTGTAGCTGCTGTTGGGGTTTCTCACCGAATGGCAGCGTGTTACTCCATTCACTCCACAAGTCACTGTATAGGTAGTGCACTCGGATCCGCACACTGTAATGCCCGTAGGTCTCAGAGCTTGGCACTAGGTACAGGTTTCTGTCTTGTCCTTGTTGGGTGATCTTAAACAGAAAGTGAGGTGTGCTGGGAACAATCGCATTGGTGACAACCTGGTTCCATGCTGGTCAGAGAACCTCATAACCTCAGACTCCCCGAAAGGATGTATGGAATGTGGAGACATCCCACACTTCTTTGTTTTCCCATCTGTGTTTCACCTTGAGCTCAGCTCATTCCAAGCCATATCCTGTTTTTGGGGTGATTCATGAGTCCCACAAAAGACCTGCTGAATCTCTAACCCCTGGACCAGAACGTGTGATCCTGTTTGGGGAAACTGGGTTTTTCTTTGCTGACTCCTTGTATAAATAACCAGGTCATGTTGTAAGATCAGGAATGGATTTTGAATCACAAGGTCTGGAGTTCAAACCCACCAGATGCTGCTCAGAAACCCTGTTCGGAATTGCTGTGAGTCAGAACCCATTCGACGGGATTTAAGAACAGTGTCAGGAGTAGGGTGGGTTTTCATTTTAATCCATTCTGAGTGTTGTTTTATAAAAGAGAAGAAACAATTGTTGTTAGATGCCATCGAGTCGGTACGGACTCATAGCTACCTTATGCACAGCAGAACAAAACACTGCCCAATCAAACAAAATATGTATATATACAAGAAGACAATACAAGAAATGTATCACGTGACATTACATCTAAGCCAGACAATTCCCAAGGCTGCAGAAACTGGCCTCCTCGTCAGTCTTGTTGGATGCGTGTAAAAAGTGGACAGGGAATAAGAAAGATCAGAGGAAAATAGGGGCATCTGAACTGTGGTGTTGTAGAAGAATATTGTTAAGTGCCATGGACCACCAGATGAACAAACAAATCTGCCTTGGAAGAAATACAACCAGAATGCTCCTTAGAAGCCAGGATGGGCAGACTTCATCTTACATACTGTGGACTTTTTGTCAGGAGGGACCAATCCCTGAAGAAGGACATCATGCTTGGTAAAGCGGAGGGTCTGTGGGGGGGACGGGACAGGAAGTCCTTCAGTGAAATGGGTTGATGCAGTAACAATAGGCTGAAACTTGACAATTGTGAGGATGGGGCAGGGTTTCGCTCTGTTGTGCACAGGTTTATGAGTTGGAACTGTTGTTAGCTCCGGCACCAAGCAACATATGCAAGATGAGAGAAGGAAGACGTATCCCCCACAGACTTGGCAGAGAGCGAACACAGCCCTAAGAGCCCTGCCCTCCATACTTCCAACCTGCAGAGAACAGATTCGTCATCCTTACAGCTGCTCGCTTTCTGGTACTTAATTATGGATACCCCCGGAGATGCCTCCCCCCATGCCATTTCCCCAGGCATTGCCTGGTACCCTCTGCTTTGGGGGTTAGGTGTAGGTCTTGGGAGGGGATTGGACTGTCCACCAACATACAAGTTGAAGAAGATGGTGACATTTCTGCTGGCATCCAAGAAGTTGCCCCCCTTACCTCCCACCTGGGTCCAGATGCACGTGGGCACTGGGGGCTACTTCTTGGATGCTGGTTGTATGAAGTCTGGGGGACTCTAAGCGTACCTCAAACATCACCTGGGTGCAGGTGAGAGCAGGGTGGAGTATCCCATAAACAATGTTAGCATGGGTTCACTTGTCTTTACATACTGATTTGTAGTGAACAATTTCATATTTTTTATCACATCACAGATTCCGTTTCTAGGTCCGGCTGGCATCTATCGCTCTCCTGAGCCCATAACTCCTTCTTACAGAATCAAAGCCTGTCTTCACATTGACAATCCCTGACGGGGACAGAGTATCCGATAAACCAAGTAAGCACGGGTTTACTTGCATTGGCTTCCTAATCTGCAGTCAACAATTTAACATGGGTCTCACCGCATGTTTGATTTGGAGGTGAGCACAGATTTGCAAGGAAAGCCACAAGAAGCTGGGACTCACTGGCTGCTCCGTCCCTGTCAGGGGTGATAAGCTTGAAAAAAAAAAAAAAAGGGTTGAATTCTGTAAGAAGAGACAGACAGCCAGACCTAAAAGCTGAATCTTTGGTGTGGTGACAAGTGTGGAATTGTTCAAACTTCCTGAATCCTCTGTCCCTGTGACCATTTCTAAATGGTGGTGGAGGTTTGTGAAACTGTCCACTACAGACTAATAGGTAAGCAGAGTAAGCCTGTGTTTACTCTGCTTGGTTGGCAAGCCCCACAGAGGAAACCCCTCTGTCCGGAACACCTCCCAACGGCATCTTAACGTAATCATGGAACCGCAGCCGGGAGGTGGGAGACACCTGGTCTCTCTGTACCTGGAGGTCACGTTCTCAGGTCAACGACAAGCCTGTCCCTTGAAAGGCAGCAAACATGGTTCCCCTTGTGTGACCAGAGGGCTGAACACTGTCTCCAGGAACTGCATTTGGAAGAACTTTGCTCTGTGCGTGGCATGCATGCTGGATTGATTTGTGTTCCTTCTGAAAATTCACGCTGCAAATCCTAAACCCTAACCTGATGGTTCAGTGTTGTAGGATAAGCACTGGACTGCTAACTGCAAGGTCGGTGGTTCAAACCCACCAGCGGCTCCTCGGAAACCCTATACAGGGTTGCTATGCGTCGGAACCGACTCGACAACACTTCAGAACAAGAACGTTTTTCGCGATACCAGACCCCTGCTGTTCTGGATGAGACGTGGGATACAGGTAGGTGAGTCAGCAGACATGCCTCTAGGTATGGGCTTCCTCGCACTGCTCACCTGCCACCCTCTTTAAAAAAACAAACAAAAGAAAAACGTTTTATTGTGAATTGAATGAAGGTTTACAGAACAGACCATCAGTTTTATGTTCAGCAAATCATATAAAATCTGTTTTTGTTTGTTGTTATTGTTAATTGCCGTCGAGTCGGTTCCAACCCATAGCGACCCTGTATAGGGTTTCCAAGGAGCGACTGGTGAGTTTGAACCACCAACCTTGCAGTTCAAACTGACTTTGCAGTCTAGCGCATTAACCCACAGCGCCACCCCAGGAGTGTTGTTGTTAGGCGCTATCATATACAATTGTTGTTGTTTATACAATTGCTTCGTAACAATGATTGCAGGCCCCTCCCGGTACCATCAGTTGACAGTATTTACCTGTGTGCATTCTAACACTGTGTTTCTCCCTGTTCCTCCTGCTACCTTCATCTTTCCTCTGCTAACCCCCTTCTTGTTGTATATTGCCTGCCCTGTCACTTGTGTTAACATGTGTCTATCTGGTATAATGCTGTCGGACAAACACAGGACTGCTCATTACAAGGTGGGTGGTTCAAACCCATCAGCCACCCCTTGGAAACCCTATACAGGGTCGCTATGAGTTAGAACTGATTTGACAACACTTAACAATAACAACATCCTCACCACTGGGCCAATAAATAA